AGACTCGTTCGAATGTTTTTTAAAAATGCTCACCGATGTCATGGGGTTTAGTACTAGTCATCCTATTGGAATGGTTTGTTGTATTCCGCTTATCTGTGAAACCTTACAAGATGTTCAAATCACGAATGATTACCTCAATAGGCCTACAGGAAAAAGTCATGGTAAACATTAACGAATAATATACAATATTGTTATTCGTTGTATACATTATTTATATTTAAATTTGACATGTTTGTATTTTTTTTTGTTTCAGAATTTTTAAATCCTGATTTATTTAGTAAAATTTTAAAACACCATTCCATTAAAAAAAACATATCGGTACAAGAATGCGCTAATCATTGGAAAAATTTATGGGTTAAGATTAAAGCTTATAATAATATTTGTTTTTCTACAACTAAAATATACTAGTGCTATATTTTAGCAATCAATAAAATAATGTTTAAATTTATTTTTCATTTTTAATTTAGGCAATAAAACATTAAAGCTTGTAATAATGCGACGTGTACTTGGCATACCGCTGCTAAATTTTATGACCGGATTTTTTATGGAATTAAACTTGGTATTGATAAACAATTTTCAGATTATAGAAGAGGCGTTCAATGATTGTAGAAATGCAATAAAAATCATACACCAAAAAGATCACAGTGTTGTACGTATTTCACCGGCCCAATTTAGCAAGTATATGACTGATAACATCCATGAGTCCAATATCGTGGATAACATTGTACATGAACTTTATCCAAGGCAAAACCTTGGTAAACATTAATTACACACGTTACATATCATTTAATAATATCTTTACTAAAAATGAATTGTCTCGTCGACAACTGAGGTGACAACTGCTCCACATCATGCTCTCATAATAACATATAATATTTTTTATATTTAAACTCAACATTTTTGTATTGTTATTTAGCTTTATGTTGGATAGATTCACGAATATTTAAGGAACTTTTCATGAACTATTGTAGAAAATTCAACTTATCCGTCAAAGAAGTCGCTGAAGTTAGGAAAGAAAGAACGCCAGAAAGAATTAAGAAGGGAATAGAGGTCATTAACAATGCAATAAAAGACAAAAAAAATAAGGAAAAAATTTACCCTGACTGAACAGTCTAATATTATATTTCTTATTATATTTTAATTCTTTATGTATTTATATGTCTTATATAATATTACTATTTTTCAAAATGATTCAAAATAAAATATAACGACTTTTATGACTCCAAAAACACTGTTTTTTCTTTTCAAATATACATCGGTTATTTACGTTATTGGCAATATTGTTTATAAGAAAAATGAAATTACCATAAATTAATTAGTGATTTAAAAAAAAAAATTTGAGCCACTTTTTAATAGCTATTAAGTATAACGTGTAGTTGAAGGAATATAGTAACCTAAATGAAAGTTACCTAAAAGCGGCAAAAAAATGTTCATTGTTTTTTTTAACCGTAGTTTTTAGAATTGCAGTAGATCTAACTAAAGTATACTGTGAATCTATTACACGTAAAATTCGTTTTGTTTTTTTATGCCAGAAAAAATATTTTCGATGGGAAAAATACTGTGGAATATTGAAAACAACAATTTGCATATTGTTATAAAAACTAATGGTTAACGATAGTTGTATCGACCTATATGGATCAAAATATAAGCTGTTTTCTAGTGAAATATTTTCGCATTTGAAACACTTGTACAAATAAGTACAAGTACAACGACAAAAACAGCAGAAAAGACAAAAACAATTTCGTTTTTACAGTAAATGAATAGATTTTCAATACAAACCTAAGCGTTGATAAAATATCTGTTTATACTTAAGATTGCAAAATCCGTGGCGATTAGATAATTTTTTTTATCTCATATGGGATACTGTTATATTTATGTAACTGTAAATGAATATATTCCAGTATATTCAGTAATCCAGAATGAATAATCCTGCCCATCTTTGCACGATTTTAGGGAGAAATGTCGAAGCGCAAAGTCGCTATCGAAGGCCATAGGAATTGAACAAAGAACAGAATTTCAAGTTTTTTTTCTATTTTGGAATTAAATACACAAACATTCTTATTACCATCCTGAAATTCCCCCCGCGACACAGCCTCTAACTAGAGCAGCTAATATATTATAAAATATGTACTTAAAAGCTAATAAAAAAATAAAGACTGTAAAACCGTGAAATGGAGTATTTTTTCAAAACTTTTAACTTAAAGTATTAATAAGTTAATTTATTTTATTAGGCTTTCAAGTGTGACTAATCTTAAATTAATTATATACCATAAACAAATTACCAAGTCAATAATAATGCAGTTTATACAAACACATTTTTTATTTTAACCTAACCTAACCTTTAAGTCTAAAAATAATAATTACAATGAATTTTACCTATTAAAAAAAGGTAATGTACCGAATACTACCCTAAAAGTTATAGTACATATTATACGTGACATAATAAATATATTTTTGAACATTTGTAAACTGGTTACAATTTTTATATGGGAAAAAAAAATTGAAATGATATCTAATATGCGTGTGCTTATAAGTGAATTTAATTATTTATGTTAGGAGTAGTATAGTTCATTTCTTCCGTGCTCGCGTTGTACTGAAAGCTAAGACGGTGCAAGTGCTCGCTTATGATCCAGTGTAAGAATTCAGAGTATTTACATAAAAATCGTAAAGGTTTATTATGGCGTTTGAATTTGTTTATAAGAAAAATAAAATTACTATAATTTAATTAGTAATTTCAAAAGAAAAAAATCTGAACAACTTTTATACTGTAAATCTATTACATATATTCGTTTTATATTTTTTCTGCCGGAATAATTAATTTTGGTGTGAAAAATACTGCGTAATCTTGAAAACAACAATTTGCATAATGTTATAATAACTAATGGTAGACGATTGTATGAATAAAACATAAATTGTTTTCTAGTGAAATATTTTCGTATTCGAAACTAATAGTAGTGTATATCGACCTATATCCTTTGTAACCCTTTTGTCAAAATATCTGCTTGCTGATATGTATTTTAATGCGATAACACCTTCCTCGACCTTTTCCCGGATAAAATGATGACGAATATCTATATGTTTCGTTCGACGATGATGGCCTGGATTTCGTGACACTTGTATACAACTCTGATTATCTTCATACAATGTTATTGGTTCTGATAATTTAATTCCAAAATCTTCTAATATGTTTCTTAACTATATTGTCTCACAAGTAGCAAAGCTGGCTGCCATATACTCAGCTTCGGTACTTGAGAATGCAATTGTTGGTTGACGATTAGTTGACCAAGAGACGATTGATCCATCTATATATTTACGTTTGACGATATATCTTAAATATCTATCCTGTCGCAGATTTCCTATCCTTATGACTAGCCCAATCCGCATCAACAATTCCTTCAAGTATTGGTATGTCATAATTTTGTTTTCTATAAATTATTGAAAAAACCAATGTCCCTTAATATATCTAAGAATATTTTTGAGATACATCCAATGAATTTCTTCTGGAGTACTTTGGAAATGACTAAAATAGTTTTAACAGTAGCTTAGATCTGGTCGAGAGGCTAACATAGCATACATGAGACATCCTATGAGCTGCCTGTATGGCTGACCACAAGTAGTTGAATGGACCGTTAATCTGAGAAAGTAGTTAAATTTTTGTCCGTAACTGCATCTCATCATGTAAAGTATAGTTCTTAACTTGTCTAATGCCGTGTATTTGACATTAGCCGTAGACAATCTACGTTTTCCGGTCCCTTGCGAACCGGAAGTTCTGACCCTATGGAACCACATATCTTCCCAATGTTCTGGCCTGTTAATATAGTTGGAATGATTCAGTCTAGGCCCGTGCAGTCTGCCCTTACACCCGGTATCGTTTTCAATGCATGCAACGATCAACGCAATTAAATACTTAATAATCACATGATTTTCCATGCTAAATATCGTTTGAGAGCCGATTTTTTTGTATTTTACAAAACAAATACGACCTGCATAGTCTACAACAATAACCGAAATGTCTAACTTATCTCGGTTTCTGCCACGTGCCACGTAGAATACAGTCCTCCGAGCGAAGGCAAAAAGACAATTTAAATTACTAAAAGTTATATTAATACGTCAAATTTGTTATTTGCCTTAAGTTTAATACACTTAAAATGTGCACGTGACACAGAGTTGCTGTTTGATATGTACAAACTGGATACAATTAAAACAGCTAAGTGCGATAGGGGCGTACTATGAAGTTAACAATGAGGTATAGTTTAACAATACTACAACAGCTATCGCCTAACTTATATTTAAATGTTAAGCCAAACTGGCGAGAATGGCGATTAAAGATATATACTTTGCAATTATTAATTTTAAAGAAGAACTGCTATTTTGTTTAGCGTTGTATTTAGATATGGGGTCTAAAAATTGCACTTATTATAGTTAATGGTTATTATAGATTTAGTGTTTATCTTTAAAATATAATAGGGAAATTAAAAAAATTGCTGTAGTTTGGCTTACTTTTTATTGCAGGGGAGGGGGGTACCAATAACTAATAATTATTGTCTGATGACAGAGTTTCAATTGCTGTAATCACCAAATTAGATGAATCAGGCAACGTCAAAAGAATTAGATGCATGCAATTAGATCATCATCTAATTTTCCACCAGATAATCTAACTTGTCTAAGTAAATCATCAAACTGACTAAGATGAGTTTCTATTGACTCGTTATCATCAAATTTCATTGTAATCAATTTCTTTAACAAATATAAACGACTAGAGGTACCATTTCGTTCGTTTTTTTTTTTTGTGTTCCAGATCTCCTTCGCTGATTCTTCCCGAACATACTCAACATGAGTGTCGGCGGTACATTACGTAATTAAGTCTGTAGCTTTTGCATCCCTCTGGTCAAACGCAGCTTGCCCATCGGCTTTATACGGGCGGATAGCACTAAGAACATCTAGTACCCCATTTTCCCTTAACAATGATACTATACCAAAATTACCAAATTGGAAAATTCATTCCTTCGAACGGTGTGATATTGAATCTGTCCTCTCTTCGTGACATTGTGGGTAGTATGATAATATCAATAAAAAAAACTTACAATAATATTTCTCCTTACAACTTTATCTAATTAGATAACTTGTGCCTGGGCCCATAACCTGTTATAATTTTGTAAAAAAAAAAACATTTATTTATTACCAATTAGATATATAATATTTAATAGAACATTTAGACCACGAGCATCCGATGAAAAAGAAAACTTAATAACAAAAACATAACCTTAACAATTCAATACAAATAAATAAATAATATAATATTTATTATAACACATGTAAATAATAATAATAACCAAAACATTGATCAATGAAAATGATAATACTAATTATGAATTGTGATTATTTCAACAAATTAAAGTCTGGATCTCTTTAATAGTTCTAACCAAATTACCATAATTTTGACCTGCAAACAATGGTACAACTCATCCAAAACCCTTTTGTTATTTCATTGTAATAATATTTACATATAGCACTAACTACTACTAGGTGTCAATTAATTTAATGTACTTTTAATCACATTTGTTTCTTGAATTTTACAAAACGTTAGGTATTATGTATTCATTGTAGAGAGATTTTTATGTTTATTGGGGTGGATACCATTAGGGTTGATAGTCTGTCTCTATTTTATAATATCTTGGTTATCCATTAACGTAACTAAAAGTATAGAATTAGGGACGATTCACTCATCAATCTAGAAATTTACTCTGGTTTAAGTGTGATCAGGAAATTTTAGGTTTATAACCACTCTATAACGAAATTAATGAAGACACAGCTATCATTAACTGTCATACTTCGAATACCAACAATTTTGTAAGGTTTTTAGTAATATTTGGTTTGTTGCAAGACAAAAATATATTTAAAAAATGTATATTTCTTTTAGATATTGCAAAATAATATTGAAGAATACACTATGTTCAAGAATATTAATTATATTTGATGAAAATTGCATACATACATTTCAATAGTATAAAACAGTTGTCAATAATCAATAGATTATTTAATTAATTTGTAAAGTTGCTAAAGATTTATAACAAATAGAATACATGGAATAAAATATTACATAAATTGTATCTATTTTATTGACCGTGAAACTTAAATACCTAAAATAATTGTTCAAAGAAAAAAAAGACACCGTGTATTTATTATATATTTTTTTTTTATTAAGTATCTGAATACAT